ATCCGGTAGCGATATACCGATCGATGAGTCGATGGATAAAATTGATAGTCACATACCCTATCGCATGAAGCGATCGTCTGAGATGATCTTCCCGCAGGTTCTCGAAGGCGACGCGGCGGCCGAGGAGGAACACAAGGAGTCGATGCCTAAGGACGCTAAAGGAGTCGACTTCGCGACGTCCACTGCCTCTCCGACGTCCGGTGCTCTTCAGTCCGTAGACATAATGACGGCTAGAGTGTCCGAGGACGGTGTCCAAAGTGTTTGCACTCAAGTGATCTCGGTGCAAGCGGCAATGGAAGCCGAAGAGCCCATCGTCCAGCCCGAGAGGAAAGTGTCGGACCCGGAGACACTGGAGAAGGACACGGAAACCGTCTCCGACACTCAGATGACGGACATGGATTATCCAGGACAGAAGAGCATCAGCGGATTGTCCAGCGAGAGCCCGGAGATGTCGATGCAGACGTCGACACCATCGATGATCCAGCAGGCGAGTATGTCCACTTCCTCGGCGTCGGCGGTCTCCGTTAGCACGGTGATCGAGAAAGATAAGCTGGACCGTCGTTCGCCGGACAGCGATTCTTTCGAAATGATCGACAAGCCGGACATCATCGACGACTTCATTGTGATCGAGGAGGTCGGCCGGGAAGCCGAGGAATACGACTCCGAGGGCAAGAGCATCCTCATCAGTTCCATACCACAGGTGAGTAGCAAACTCTACGATCGGGATTTAGAGAACCTGATCAGCGACACCAAGGACGACGCGCAAACGACGGCTAGCCAGCCTGCGAAGACCACCGATCTGTTCGACTTCGAGTCCGAAGAAAGTCCACCGCAAGCCTCGAACGACGATCAGTATTCGCAGTCTTACTCGGACGACGAGCAGTACGAAGGTAGCAAGAAGTGGATAGAGATGCAATTCCACGCGGATCCTAGAGTTTACGACATCGAATACGACCGGGTACCCTTAGAGGACATCAAGGAAGAGGAGATCACTGATTTCGAAGCTGGCAGCAGTAGATTCGGCAGTTTAGGCAGCCACAAAGAGTCCATCGGCAGCGTGGGCAGCATGCGTGGTAGCTTCGGCAGCACCCCGGACTACGACATCCTGGCGGGTAAGAAGTACTTTGTCAGGCAGTCCGATCACGACAACGTGTCTCTAAGTTCTCTACAAGAGTTCGAGCACCTGGAGAGTACGGTAGCCGCGGAGAACTCTAAGAAATTGCAGCAGTGCGGCTCCCACGACTCCGTGAACAATGGCAGTCTTCCAAGGAGATACATGGCCAGCCGATCTGGCCACGGGGATGACGTTTCTCTGTCTTCGTTGAAGGACTTCGAGGGGCTGGAGAAAGCTTGCCGAGAAGCGCACTTGATCGAGCTTCGGGCTAGAGAAGAGGAAGATCTCTTGGAGCACGAGAGTCCCGAGAATAAATACAAGTTAGAGAGTCTCTCGCGGACCAGAGTGGACACTAGTGCCGCGGGATCTTTCAATCCCAGCACGTCGGGGTCCGACGACTACGAGAAGAGGATCAAAGAGATCGATGAGATCATACGCATCGCGCAGACCAACGTGGAGAGATTCGATAGGCAGGATGACACCACTGAGGACATTTCGCAGATAGAGATCATGGATACAGAGAGGACAGGTCTGCCAGCTCCTGCGCAGTCTGCCGTGAAGCAAGAGGAACTGAAAGACTCGAATGTTCAGAAAGAAGGGAACATCATGGAGACGAGTACCGATTCTTTGGAGCTAGAAGACAACATGGATAAGAAGCATCATCCTTTGTGCCGAAGTTCCGACTCGCTAGAGATGAAGACAACTTTGGACTTTCCATCGCTGAGCTCTGATTCGTTGAACAACGTTAGAGATGGAAAGGAAGCGCAGTCGGACGTTGTCGGGTACGCCAACAATCTCAGGCGCATTTCTTCGGACTCTCTCGATATGCCTTTGATGGAGCAGCAGAACGTTGAAAGCCAAGGCAGAGCTAGTGAAATCGATCCCTCCGACGGAGCGCCGTCGGACAACTCTTTGGAGCAAGGACTGGAGACCAGCGACAGCAACGCGAGAACTGACAAAACGAGAACGACACCGAGTACTAGTACATAGGAATATTTTCGTAGGTAGGTGTACGATATTAGATGCATCTAATCCAGTATCTAGCCTAAGCGTCCGAAGTATTGGACATCGTGTTTCGATTATGTTTCAGTGGAAATATAATTGCTCGATTTGAAAGTATCTTTGGAAGCTCATCTCCAGGTTACCGTTGCGAATTGACGATCGTTTCCGTTGCAGATAGCGGACCATCACGGTTAATTTGTCACAAGATCGGCCACGGCCACAACGATGTATTATCAAAACACCTTTAAAAATGCTTTATGTGTACGACATACATACAGAAAAATTTTTACAAGATATTAACGCATTCGTCTTCGTTTTGTGCAATATCTTCTAAGGGAAAACGTTTACCTTATTATGCTTAAGTAAGATATTTATAATCCTTAAGACGTAAGGTTGTTATTGAAAATGAGATAGAGATATGAATGGCGCTTAAGTGTTTCATATTATGATCCGAAATCGATGTATATATATAATATATATATTATGTATATTATGTATATTATATATATTATATATATTATA